CGTCCTTCGCCTCCCACGACTCGCCCACTCTTGCTTCTAAAACTTGGAGTAGATCGCTTTCGTAAGGTTTTTTTTTGTTGTTTCTTGACTTGCCGATCGAGTATGGCCCAGAGATTTTCGATATGGTTCATGTCATGAGATTGGCTCGGCCAGAGCAACTTCTGTATACCATTTTCTTCCTACCACTTTTGAGTGTTTCTAAAATGCGAAAAAATTAGGTGTCTATTTACTTGTGACCACTCAATGTAGATCATTACCCTTTTAAGTAGACTTGCTCAAGCTGTGCAAGAACCTGTATTCATGTCTTACATGCCCAACAGCAGAAGTTAAATGTTACATAAACTGTAATGCATATATTCTGGAAAAAAAAATGGAAAGAAATTTCCAGTTGGTATTGTAGCTAGAGCACTATGTACATAACGGATTGATTACAATAACTTTTGTAAAATGCTGTATTTTTCTCCCATCAATTCTATAACTAAAACTCACCAATGACATGCAAGGTAAAAGTCTTTTTAACAAATCCATGATCATTGCTTGCAATGCAGAAAAAATCCACATCATCAGCCTTTGCAACAGTAACTTTGACGACAGCTTGATACTGGTTCTTGTTAAGTTCCCGAACTTCAGAGTTTATACTAGATAATTGGCTATCAAAAAAGATCAGTGTATTTAATTTAGCAAAGTAGTGATGTAAAGTTAAATGAACAATGGTAAAAGCTGAGGGGGTGAATACTTTTGCAACATGTCAAATTTTTTTGTGTTATATCACTAAAGTGAGTAACAATGCACCTTTTGTTCTTTGTAATCATTAGAAACTGGTCTGAGATTAATATAATAAATATTTTGGCCATTTGAGTTATGTCTTTCACAAGAAAATAACTAAAACTGATTACCAGCATGGGGGGGGTGAAGACTTTTGCAAGGCTCTGTATGTATATTCTATACAATTTATGACTTATCTCTTTATCAGAGGTAATAATAAATGTTAAAGCAACTAATTCCACATCTTAAGCTAATTGAATAGTCTCATTAAAGTATACAAAAGTAGTTTTCAAAAAACATTGTGTGTTAATTATTACCATAAATCATGTCTTATATCAAATTAAATATATTACTGATGACAGAGAATAAAATCATTCTTGGAACAATTTTGTATATTAGTACTGAAAATAAGAAAACTGTGTTCATGATTTTTTTTTATTAATAATAGTTACTCCTGTTGTTCATTTTTACTCTTCATGACACTACAAATAAAGGATTTGAAGCCATATTTCATTTATTTCACAGGTTTATGCTTCATAAAAAGTTGTCTACTGGTTTCTTAAAAATCACCCTGAATTACCAAAAACTGTCTCCTATCTGCACAAGTAACTTGACTAGTACTTGAAATAATTTCTGTTCAGTAAGAAGCTTCAGAAATAAAAATATTCTAGACAAGTATATACTTACTGTTTGTGAAATAATATGAAAACACAGTATAACAAGTTCTTTTTTATATTAACTACACAAACAACTTAAAAAATATATTTTATGGTATAGAACCTACCTCGAATTGATTTGCACAGAAGGAGGAGGGATGGCATCAGCTGTACAAGAAATGTATTTGGGCTGCCCAGTGTTAACTTCCTCATCAGAAGCTGCAACAATCTGTGGAATATCTACACCAAATTCATTTATTTTTGTGTTTAATCTACAAATATTTAATTACTTTCATTATCATTTATGTTTCAATGATACTATAAGAATTACATGCATAGTATGATTTAAAATTAACCAAAACGTATCTAACTATCTTCATAGAAGTAATTTTAATAACAAAAGTATTTTTCAACTTAGTTGTTCTATTCAATAAGAGGTTAAAATTTTTCTTGCTTTAAGAGAAACCAACTGCATAAATAACAAAACAGTTACAGACCAGTATATCCTTTATATAATATACTTCAGTCTTTTTGGTAACTTTTTTATGGGTTTGGGTGCCATTCTCTAGAACTTCTGAGAGTAGACTCCAAAATACATTAATTAATAAACTTCACTGAATACACTTATTGAATATTAAAAAAGCACACAGACTTACTTTCTGTACATATCTTTCCTCTCCATCGCCCCTCACATGTACAGCTTCCATTCATTCGATTACAATGGCCACCATTCTTGCATATACAGGTTTTATTACAGTTAATTCCATAGTTGGTGTTAGGACATACTACAACAAGAAAAAAGTTCATGCAAAGTAACTGGTTGCTATTTCCCAGATATTCAGAAAATACAAGTACAATACAAAAATAAAATATTTAAAATCACAAGTTTAAAATTTGTTTTTATGATGAGCATTTAACTGTTGCTGAAACAGTTATATAAGGTTTAAAAAACATCAGTCTAATAGCTTTGAGTTTCTTAGAATATTTTTTCTGAAATATAACAAATTTCATTTTAGTTATATCTGAAAACAGTAGAAAAATTTATTGACATAAAATATTGTAATATTAAAATATAATTTTTTTTGTAAAGTTGCATGTTAAATAAATGACACATCAGTAGTTGTATTTATAGCAATGCTTATAAGTGAAAGCACTCTTTGCAATGTAATAAACTCTATTTTTTGAATTACTATATTTATATATATCTTAGAAAAAATATTTTTTTTGTGTTAATTCTCACATTGAGAAACTATTAGATATAAACAGCAATCCATACAAACAAGTCTCTAAAATAAGGCATTAGGTTTTCTTGAAAAATCAGCTTTTCTTCATAATATTTACACTGTTTTTCACTATGATGTTTACAATTATTGTCTTCCCTAATAACAAATGACAAGTAAGATTATGCCTAACATCAAGATAATTGGCAACAAAAAGGCTATTGTCGTTTGAAATTCTCAACTATGAATAAAAGTTAACATATTTTCAAAGAAAATAATAATGAGATTACACTTAGCTTGGAATAAAGGCTGCCTGGACAAGCATTCAAAGAGAAAGAGAGAAAAATAGGCAGTTGCTTTAGCTATGATCTGACTTCGTCATACATGTAGTATCTTGTGCCAAGACAAAAACACCAACTTTTGTAGTTTCATCCAAGCATCTGGCAGCATCTCACTTAATTATGCTTTGGAGTCCAGATAGGATCTGTCTGCTTCTACAGGTAAATAGGCTAGCATTGCACTTTCAGTGTTATCATTTTGTATCATACTCTTTTCATTTTGTGACAACTCTCCTTGTTGCCTAAGACTGCTTCACATTTTAAATGATGGAATAATGTGACCAGACAGTTTAGATATTAAAATGCACTTTAATTTATATGCTGGTGTTGGCTTATCTTAACAAGGCAGTCCATTCATTTTGGATATAGATGACAGTGCAATACAAGCAGTGTGACTATTGTTATGCAGTTAGTGGTCCTGAGTTTTCTGAGACTGAAGACTATAAAAAAATTGCATGATACGATAACTGGAGAAAAAGAGGGAGCGTCAGTGTTACAGCAGTGGTATAGACATTGTGTTGCTAGTAATACTCAGAAAAGCTCCAATGCAGAGTTGTAGGTTCTCTACTTCAGAGAAGATCTTTGATATCAGAATCTTCCTGAAAGATTGTAACACTAATCAATATGCTAGTTATTATTAATTAACCAAATAGACTAAAGCTTATTCACTCTTTATCATTTTAGTTCAGACTGTTACTGGTAAGTGGTAAACAGGGGATATATTGCACCTGGAAAAATCCATGCGATTCAAGAAGCAAACTTTTTAACAGTCTGCTAGGGTTGTATCAAGCACTGGATGTAAAGAAGCATATTACATCATATCTGGTGATATGGTTAAACAAGTCATACTGATGGATATACAAGTTTGTTCAGTTTAAGAGATTTTATTTAGTTTATTTAGTGATTTAATATTTATTGATTATTTTGTTTTTATAACAAGAGTGTTGAAAGTTAATTATTTTAAAGGTGATAGTTATGACAAGTTTCATTATGTAACTCTGTATTAGTCATCTGTTATACATGTAATTTAATTGTTGTAGTAGGCTTTTGTAGCATTGTTGCTGTTATCTTTCTCGACGTTTTCTCATTATGCTTAATACTATTGTTACTAGAGGGCTAGGTATTTCTAAATTTTTCTGTCACATGTTATAAATACTTGCAGATACAGAGAGGAAGTAAGTTAAGTCAGTGAGAGTGAAAGTAAAAGTGAACTTAAATTGCGGGATTATCAGTTTAGCTCTATAAAAAGAGAGTTTCACAGTTTGTACTGCAATAACAGAGATAAAGATGAATAATTTGTCTTGTTAAAGAAGGTTCTAAAGTACTTGAGCACACCTGTGTGGACTTTGACAAAAAGGAGGCAATTATTTATAGCTCTGGATACAACTGTGATAACCAACAGTTATAGTGGTGATGTTAAAGTGAGTTTCACAACTTGTAACAACAGAGATAAAGAACAATAATTCATTTTATCAGTTGGGTTCTAAAGTAATTTGATAGAAAATAGAATTAGTTAAAGCTTTGGATACAACTGTGGTAACCCCAGGGTAAAGTAAGTGAATTTATCACTGATTGTATTGTGAAAATAGAAGAGAGAAGAAATAATTTATCTTGTCAATAGGGTTCTAAAGTAATTGAACTAGTGTGGACTTTTGGGAAAAAATGAGAATTATATAAAGCTCTAGATCCAACTGTGGTAAACAACAGTGTAATGAATTTTGTACATACGTTTGACTTGTTTTGAATATATATTATTTTAAAACAAGTGGATTGTGTGCTGTTAGTTTATTGTTGAAATTTATCCCCAACAAGTCACAGACACCTACTGTAAAGAATCCTGGCCCCCATATAAAACCTAACACATACAGGCTGTAAAGTATAATATGCTTTATAAGTCTATAAGCAACATACTACAAGCTATTTTCTAAATGTGTTAATTGTTTTAAAGAGAAGTTATGTTATCTGTGGATTTACTGGAAGATCCCACATACTAATGATATTTCACAGCATCTTCAATGGTACGTGGAGATGTTGAGAACCATATATGTTGAAGTGCATGAATTTGCCATTTAACAAATGGAAAAGATCACTGTACCTCTAAATAGAGAGTATGAGTAACACTATATGCTAGTCTGAGAGATGAGTCTGGATCTAACCCTGGTACGTGTTTGCAAAGCATCAGCATCTCAGTTCTGGATGAGCCACAATTTACATCATCATTTGACTTCAAGAATCTTGTGATTATACTTACATTATTAAGAAACTTATGAGATATTGGCTGGACCAGAAAACAGAGAAACAAACAGATTAGGGAATTAGATAAAGACAATAATTCTATCTGACCTGAGTTGCCATCATAATGAGTCAGAGGACATAGAAATGATAGATGAAAAGCTCGTCTGCTTAGAATATCAACCACATTGATATGGCTGATACTAATAAAATCGATCAACAGCTAAAATCTACTTAAAAAACCAAAACAATTTTCAACTCTTACTTTCTAAGTTAAACAGTGGATCTACATGGAGAATATGATAACTGATCCACTGTGACTGTGCCATACCTGCCTACATATTCAAATGTTAACTTGTACATGCAAAGGTAAAATAAAGAAAATTACAAGGGAAAGTGTTTACATCTATTGTGTCTAGCCCCAGAAGAATATAACTAGAGAAAAGTTTTAATTTTTTTCACTCTGGAAGATTTCCAGTGCTGTGAATTGTTAAATCTTTCCTATAGCAAGAGAAACACTCTGTATTTCTCTTCTTTTTTTTTCTCAATAATCACAATTGTGTGCTACTCTTTTATTTCTGGGTTAACTGTTTTGAAATTTGGAAGGCATATGTCAAGATAACTTTTTCATCTCTTTGATTCATGCTCCCATTCCAGGGTCAGCAATTACAGAAACACATATTTGGGCTATAGTTTCCTCACCCTTCCATCAACACAAATGAGACTTGGCACAAAGATAGCTTGTAAAACTGTCAGAGATTAATGTAGAAAGATTTTGGATTTGTGCTTTCCATTTTACTTTACAGGGTCAAAGGTACAAATATTGCAACACTTGGGTTTTTGGTTTGCTATTTCTTTCTATTTTGACCAATCCAGATGAGACCTTAAACAGATACCTTAGAACTGCCACACACTGAAACTGATATATATGAAATTTTTGCTTTTGTTGCAATTTTACAGAGGTCAAAGATAAAAAATTTTGCAGACTTAAGGCTTTTGAAATTCCATTATATTTCAACCAACTTAGATCAGAATTTGCACGTGATGAATAGTGTAACTGTGCCAACTAGTAGCCACTGTAATAATAAATTTATTATTACTGTTCTCATATTATGTTTAGTCTGCTGTCGACCAAGAAATAAAATGAGCTAGCAGAATGTTAACAATGTTCCCACAGACATGAGCAAATGCTTTTACTACATTTGATTGCTAGTGAAATGAAACAAATACCTCAACTATTGTTCAAAGACCTTACCAAGGAAGGTTAAGGTTACTTCCTTAAATGGTTTCATTAACTAACTTCTGGGTGATACTGGTGCTTATCCTGAACTATCTCGTGCTTGATGCATTTTAATTTCTTATAAACCTTCAGTATCATCCAGCAGAACAGAAGCAAACATCGGCATTCATTAAAATTGGCTGTATTAAATTATCTGAAATAAACAGGAGAAAGCTAAGTAAAGCAATCACCAATTATGTAGATTAAATTAACATAATGTAGTATTTGTGTTATTTTTGCTACAAATAAATCCTGAAGTTTCACAAATGTTTTTGACAAATGCCATTGGAGTAAAATGAGGCATATTTGTTCTGTTTGTACTCTTTCTATCCATCTATACAGCAATAATCATTGTCCTGATAAACATAGCATTAGACCACATCACCACTATGCCCAAAAGAGATAAAAAAAAAAGACAGCAGTTAACTTATGAAGCTACCAACTTAACCAAGAAACAGCATAGGTGATTTCATACACTTTATATAGTTAATTGTAACACCCAACAATATCAATGCACTGCTTCATCAACCAGGATGTGGAGTTAGCTCATAAACTATGAATATGTGACTTAAGTTGCCATAACGAAATTGTAATAAATATTCTTTTCAAAACCATAGTGTATTGTTGTTAAAAATTTTATACAGTTTTTGTAAGGCAATTTACTTTACTTCTGTGACCTGTATATATATATATATTCTTCAATTTATTGTAATCATTATTTTGTTTTATGAATCTATTGGTTAATGCTTAGCTATTTGTATGATTCCAATTTTTATTTGTTGCACTACTTTCCCCTTCTTTTTTTTTTGATTTGAAGATTCACAGTTGGCTCTACCTGCTACTTTCTGCAACTTATGTTGTGAATCTTATGTACTTAGTGTTTTTTATGTTGATTTAATGGTATCATTAATATTGTTAAAAAGGGTCAGAGAGAGATATATTCTGTTCTAATGTGTTACTACTTCGAAGTATACTCTGTACTAAATCCTTATTTTTTTCATAAGAGAATTACTGTATTATGTATACCGTACTATATGTTACTGAGACTATAACTTCAATGGATCAATTTATGTGTTGACAAAAGTTGCAAAGTGTGGTTTGTAGTGTAGTTTTCTCAGTGTTTTTAGCATTACTATTATAAATTATTTATTGTATAATTAATGTGAGTATGAAGGACTACTTTATTATACATTGTGTATTATAGTGCTGTAATTATTATATTTATGTATTTTATAAAATAGTGGTGTTTGGATTCAATGTCATAAATGAATTAAAGGGCTTTATTTTTATGTGTTCTCTTGTGTCATGTTTTACATCCAGCTTTGCATATATTGTAATGTTTACATTCCATCCATGTTCCACAAGATTCCAGTTTCAAATTAAATTGACTTGAACTTTTCAATTTTGAGTAATTGGCTCAATGGGGTTGGACTTGTGGTAAACACTATCATATATTACACCTTTCTAAAGATTTTAAGATAAGTTTTTTTATATTCTAGTTCAGAACCAGCATATCCATTAGAGATCACATGCTAAACTTGGCCCCATGTGCCTCGCCTCTATGGTAGGTTTCAATCTTGATTGTGTTAACTATTATATTGAACAGTTTTATGTTAGTGGTCAATAATGTTCAAAAACAAAGCTACATTTATAATTATTAATGGGCATGGAATTAATGCTTAATTCCACTGATCATTATTACAACTAGCTAAACTATCAAAGAGTAAGGTACTTGTAGGCTCAGCATGAATTTTCCTAAATTGAAAAATTCAAGATTCCATTCAAACAGCTTCCAGTGTCTTCTTAGTTTTCTTGTCTTCTGTTAAGCTAACAGCATGTTTTACTTGACTTTGATTTCCCTTCTACTTTATGTATTACTTAATTTTTCCAACATTCATTTTAAGTTTCATCTGTAAACAGCATTATTTTGATTTAATCAGTTTAGTCACTTTTATGTTACATTATTTTATGTGTTATGCTGTCCTTCAATAAAAAAAGTATTTTTGTTGTCACAACTTGCCCTTTTCTTCATATGCAGCCAAAATAATCACATTTTAATTCTTTCACTAGCTAAATCTTAAGCCTACTTGTTTTACAAGACAGTTTGTCTGTGTTAATTATTCCTCATACAGGTTTACCACACATATATACTACACATAAAAAATACATGTATTTGGAGCTATGGATCTACTGGAAAAATGTTATCACACTCTATACAACTGCATAACCAACTAAATGATAATTCTAAAATATTTTAGAAGCAAAACCACCATCATATAATAGCAGCAACCACCTCCCCTACACTACTTTTAATTTTTATGCAAATGTTATAATTTTCCTACATTGGAGATGTATTTCCAATAGGTACTTACCTCGCCTCACATAAATAGCTATTCTCTTTCAGTGCTGCCCTCAATATGCAAAAACATTTGACACACCACAAGCCTTTTATCTCCCCTCCATTGGAATTGACTGATTCCAATGCATCTCTCATTCATCAACCTTCCACCAATAAGTGTGTGGCATACTCTCATGACGCATGTGACTCCCTTTATTCAATTCTACCGAACTATCACTTTGAGTTTTGGCAGAAGATGGAAGCACCAGGTTTCAGTGGGGAGGAAGTGTGAGAGGAGGAAAGTATATATCAGAAATACATTTTCAGTGTAGAAAAATTATAATTTCTGATATGGTACATGACTTCTCACATAAATAGCTAGAATCCCACATTGAATAGGTGGAGGGACTTGTGTGAGGGAAAGAAAGAAGCATCCTTCAAAAGCATTTGAAGAACACTCCCTAAGAAGAGACAGTTAGATTCTAAGACCTGATGTGGGGTATTGCATCACTTCTGAACCAGGTATACTTTTCACCCATCATAGAAAGTTGTTGCATATATGGGCAGAAGACAGAGGAGCACATCCAATTGGGAGAGAAGTATGGCCAGAAAGTCATCCGAATCATGCAATATTTATGAAACTCAATCCCAGAAATTATAGAAGTGGGTAAAATGAAGAGGATGTACCCCTAGGTGTAGAGTGGCTAGGGCATGACACACTGTACACGGCAAGCCAATTACATCCAAAACCCACTAATATTCAGGTGGGGTTAGGATGAGGATCATATCATCTGTAAGTCAACTACAATCCAAAACCCGGCAGCTAGATATTGACATTCATGTGAGGGTAGGAAAAAGGATCATATTACCAGCAAGTCAAATACAATCCAAAACCCAGACCACTGGGAACCGACATCCATGTGGAGGTAGGAAAGAGGATCATACCAGTGGCAAGTAAACTACAATCCAAAACCCATACATCTGGCAGGGGTATGAAAACGAATCATAACATCTTTGCTTCAAGTTCATGAGACCAGAGGGAATCTAGCACCCACTGACTCATGAATGGGGCACACGTTAATATGATAAAATGATAGATTGATCTAAAACCCAACATCTGTTATCAAAAAGATGTCTACGTAATGTAAACCATCTTCTTCAAAAGTGAAATTGACTGGAACCACCCCAAGCACATTAACATCCTCAAAATAAGAAACATTGAAGAATAGCAGAAGGGAAAGAACCATAACAATTCACAATTACCTCCATCATGACCCATAGCACTGATGGAGTATAAATGAGGGAGGAATATAGGCATCTGTAATACATGTGTGAGGACTTATGTTGATTGGTTTTACTCTAAAGCCAAAACCTGGCCACAGGGAACCAACATCCTTGTGGGGGTAGGATGACGGATCCCAATTGAAGGGGAGAACTGCAATTTTGACATCTCACTCTCATTTGTTTTTTTGTTTCATACTAAAGGATATCACATTCTCTACACCAGCAGAACCACACTGCATCTTGTGGAACACCCCACCTCTAAAGGGTGTATTGTGTGGCCATGGGATTATAATATGCAAGTCAACACAGCTTGACAGAGTGGATTTGAACAGTTAAAGAATACCTGGTCAGGCACCACTCACCATAGAGTGGGATCCAAACAATGAGCATTGACAAAAGGGAAAAGGGCCTCTGAAAAGGAAAAATAAGAAAAAATAAACTTACCCAGCCAAAATCTCACTAAGTTCTGATATTCTAGAATGGCTACAGACAGAAGATGATAACCCAAAGAGGAAGAAAACTGTGATTCAATGCAAATAGTGAGATAAATGTGTCATGAGTAGTCCACATATCCGATTGAAGAAGCACCTTCAAAGGACGACAAAGATAAACAAACACCAATGAAAAAGTAAGGTGTCAAAGTGGGTGAGAAGAAACTTGGAACAAAGTCTGGGAGGAAGACAATAAAGAGGAAGAAGCCAATCGAACGAAGAGCCAAACCCAACTGGCAATGGAGGAAGGAGAAAGAACATGAACAGAAGATAGCTGCCAAGGGAGAAAGAGGCTGGAACGGACCACAGATGGAAGCTATGCAGACAATATAACAGAGAAGAGCACATACAGGACAAAGAAGTCTACCTGGATCAGGACAAGGATAAAGGTATGAAACAGAAGGAAGGGAAAGCAGCTAAATGGAGGAGTTATCCTCATAAGCCACCTAAGTGTTAGAAAGGAAAAACAATCCAGAGAAAGGAAAAGATATCTAGAAGGATAAAGAGTATGTGAAACATCAATGGCAAATAAACAGACCACTGAGGGTGGTGAAGAAGGAAGGAGACAGAGGAAAAGCTAATGGAGGAGAAAGTTGGAACTGGAGAAGCCACAGAAACCACAGCTGAGATGGCCAGGAAAGAGCTATCAGAAGGACTGAACACAGAGTGACAAGGATGAACAAAATCACCCAGAGAAGAAGGAGAACTGGAGGATAGACATATGTGTTGTGCCAATCCTGGCTGAAAACATCGATAGCCAGAGCAAGAAGATGAAGAACTGGAGACCAAAACTAAGGCATTTTGTTGTTAAGGGGCATAACAAAAGCTTCAATGTGAAGAGTACCCCAATGAAGTTAAAACCACTGGAAAACAAAAGGTTCGAGAGACCACTCCATCTAATATATGTTGTCTGGACAGGAATCTGATCCACAACAAAAGCAAAAGCACTTGGAACACGACACACAATGATAGAAATATCGAATGTGTGGGTCCAAAACAAAGATCCAACATACGAATACAAAAGGATAAATAACAGGTGCTGCCCTGGTGATTGAGATAAGAAACCACTAAAGAAAAGTCAGAATGGATCATTACCAGTCGATTTCTGGCCAGATGGGGAAAATGAACCAAAAAAACGACCTAAAGCAAGAAGCTCCAGGATATTGATAGGATAAGACCTTTTTGCCACATATCAAAAACCCTGAAGCTTCCAATTCATCACCCACCATCTCCAAAGAAATGCATCCATAAAACTTGGAAAAACCAGATGAGGAAGAGGAAATGGGACACCCACAGATGTGTGAGTTATATCTAACTACCACTAATGCTGATTGACGACAAGGGCAGGAGGAAGGGTAATAAGAGACCACAAAAGATCTCTGCAAAATTCTACTAGTTGTGAAAAGTCCACAAAAGAGGCCGCATATGAGCCTGACCTAAGGGGATAAGGGCTACCATAGAAGATCATATCCCCAAAGGTAATGGAACTTTACTTGCTGTAATCAAACTAAAAACCCATTTAACAAAGTTGAAGAGGAGAAGGACAGGCCAGACTGAGATGTGTGTAGAAAAAGAAAAACACCCAAATGGACAAAATATTGGATAGGTCACAGTAAGGACTTCTTCAACTTGATTAACAGCCCATTATAGCTGCCTCCAGGAGCAACTTATAAAGGTAACATGAAGACTCCTGTTCAGAACAAGCAAACATTAGCCAGTTGACCAAAGAGAGAGGAAAGTCCAACCCAAGAGTACAAATGGACAAAATATTGGATAGGTCACAGTAAGAACTTCTTCAACTTGATTAACAGCCCATTATAGCTGCCTCCAGGAGCAACTTATAAAGGTAACATGAAGACTCCTGTTCAGAACAAGCAAACATTAGCCAGTTGACCAAAGAGAGAGGAAAGCCCAACCCAAGAGTATATAAGTGGTGAAAGAATGCTATGAATGCCCGAGAAAACATAGAGAGCCGAAGCAAGTCTGAAGGGCAGTGCATAAAACAGAGAAACCACACCATGGAGAATAAACTGAAGAGTGTGTTGCAAGTGATGAAATATTGGGATACGCAAATAATCATTTGCGACATTCCTCTTTGTCATCGATAAACCGGGATAAAAAGCCCACCTAAGGTTGAGAAACGACTCGAAGGTAAAACGGGTCTGATTGAAAATTAGAATGAGGCAGGACAAACCTAGTACAAGCCACCAGTCTCCAGTTTGGCACAAGGATAACATACAGCCTGGAGAAAGATGATGAACAGATGCACTGGCCGGTAGAGACAGAAAATATTGTACTGCTTCGGACAGATGCAGGCTGGTGGCAGGATCCTGGGGAAGGTAAAAGGTACCAAAGACAAAAGACGTAGGGAAAGAAATAGTAGGAACTGTAGTGTAAGATTGCCAAAGGGTAACCATATAATACAGATAAGCTCCCACTAGACCAGAACCATCTGGTTAGTATCCAGTACTGTTGGCAACATGCCAATCAACACTGAATAAAACAATGAGATGAGAAATCCATGGAAGGGGGAAAGGGATGGGTAGATAAGGGCTCCAACAGCAATAAACATGCAACCAAAGAGAAAAGAGTCAAGTGTTGATGCACACATTACACATGAGATTCCAAAGTTTCACATAAACGATCAAAAACATATCACCAAAGAAAATACAGAAATCCCTAAAAGAAAGAGGCATTAAATATACCCAGGACAAGATCGCATCATGATCCAGAAAATCTCAACTACAGTGAAATCATACATGTATAGTGAGAGCTGAAGATGACAAACATGCCAACATGGAGGTAATAAAAAATTGTAGAAAAATGGGGCATTGGATAAAACATAACATACCTAAAAAAATCATGTCAAAATGGATATATTAGGCCTAGCTGATTCTGCAGGAGGGGTAAGGAAAAACAAGGCAAAATCCGGGGGTGTAAAAAGGGTAACAAATCTTCATTGGCCTGAACAGTTTCAGTTTATTCAGGAGGATTAGAGGAGCAAGTTCAGGAGAAGAAGAACAATCTCATGATGGATAATAGCAGAGAAATCCAACAACAGGTCTCCCCCATCTACAGCCTGTGAAAATAGTGCTAAAGGTATAACACCTGAAGTGGGATCATAAACCTCAGAATTCATTGTAGAAATATGTAAATCAAACGTGTGAGAAAAAAAACTGAGAAATTAAGTTAAATTAAAAGATCTCTTCAATGTAAAGAAAAAAAAATAATGAAGAAGTCCCACCTTTGAAATTAAACTATTAAAATCATGATTTACACAAAGAGCACCAAAAGAAAAAAAACGTCTAAACATGAATACTGCCAAACAGGAAGTGATATTCAGTAGAATGGAATAGAGGGAGTCACATGCATCATCAGAGTATGTCACACTCTTATTGGTGGAGGGTTGACACATGATGATTTGCATGAGAGACGCAATGGAATCAGAAAATTCCAATAGAGGGGAGATAGAAGGCTTGTGGCATGCATAAACATTTCTTTTGCATATATAGGGCAACACTGAATGAGAGTAGCCATTTATGTTAGAAGAGGTAATGTACCGTATCGGAATAAGTATTTGATGATTGATCATGCAAACTGAAATGTAATATTTGGTCATTTTTTAATACATTTTCCTTTGGTAGAGTTGTTTGTACATCTTTACAATTCATGTTATTTGATGATCTGTGATGCATCTCTTAAAACCCTCTTATATCTACTTGATGAGGCTGAAGTCCAGTATAAAAGCCATTCATCTGGATAATCCTCTCTTCCTCATAGGATATTTTGAACAGTTTAGTGAGATAAAGATAGGTGTTATCATCCATTAGATTGAAAATGAGATCAACTTCACTAACACATGATAGGACAAATGGTTGGATGTAGTGGTTCACATTATACAAGAAAACAATGGTACCATTCTACTAGATGTAGAGGTCAGTGCTAATTTCTACTCACACGATACTTCTACAACCACTACTGCATGCATTATATTCCTGTATGTGAATGAAGTTGGATTTGTTGTAAATTCTCTTGTGATGAGTACATACCTGGCTGCAGACAACCCCTCTTTGTGAAAAATATTTCTCCACGTAAGAATGATATCACTGTTAGTGAGCTATTTTGTTCATTGTGTGAGCAGATTGCCAGTCATTAGGCAACTGACATACAAATTGGCCTTGTAAAGTTTTTTACTGACCATCTGTATATTGACACAGTATCTAGTTACTGTAATGAATGAAAGGATAGCAGGTGTCTGTCTACTTGTGACTTAGATGAAAGTTTACCTTGCCCAAGTCTTTTAGTAACTGTACTGTTAGTTTGGAAATGGTTTCACATTATGGTAATAAATTTTAGACACTTGATCTGATTACTTGCTTTCCCTTCATCTGATAGCTATCCATATTATTGAAACATTTAACTTTCTTCTTATAGGTCTATTCATAGTACATAAACAATTTATAGCACTTTAAACTTTGTGATTAACTTCAAAGTAATATATTGTTACATCTTCGTTTGTTAATTAACCTTCCGTAACTTCGTTCCGACGAAACTTTAGCGACACAAGTCCTTACTTAATAAAACTGGTTTATTCTTTACGAATATAACTTTACGATACACTTATTTTCAACAATCGCGCTAAAACAAACGCTATATCAACGAACGTCAACAATACTTCTGACTGCAGTTCAATTACTCACTATCTACCACACACACATTACATTATTGTCCCGTCACGTTGTCACCCTCTTTTATATACCAGACTACCCTATATCTAGTAAATGCTAGAGCATTCGCCAAGGTACAGGATAGTTCTAGAAACGTGGCGTCACTAGTCATGTGACCTCACTGACGCAACAATATGATATCTTAACTGAATGACTTAGTTCTGTGAGAAACTAGGGCGACCGACTTTCTACATTATGAACACATGCTCAATATTATTTACACAATTTATACACATATCTATATATTAACTAAGGAGATAGGAAACATATTGTTACGTCTCCGTTTGTTAATTAACTTCCCGTAACTTCGTTCCGAAGAAACTTTAGCGACACAAGTATCCTTACTTAATAAAACTGGTTTATTCTTTCCGAATATAACTTTACGATACACTTAATTT